TTTTTTTTACTTTTGTGGGCCCCCCCCCCCCCATCTAATAGATCGATATTACATTTTATGAAGTTCATTTAATAACCTTAATGAAACAGTTTGTGTAAATAAAGTTTGACTTAATGAAACAGTTTGTGTAAATAAAGTTTGACTTAATGAAACAGTTTGTGTAAATAAAGTTTGACTTAATATTGTTTCAATGATGACAAGGCGAAAATGCAAATACATGCCGCAACGTGGAATTTTGTCTCAGTGTTCTTAAAATCATATACAAAACATCTACATCTAAACACCACAACAACACTATAATACAGTAAATTTACAGCAGCTTTTACATTAATACGTCTTGTAAAACGCAAAAGTTTAACACTTTAACACCACAACCCCCCCCCCCCCCCCCCCCCCCCCCCCATCAAAGTCCACATCCATGAAAAATCAGTAGCCCAAAAAAATGATGCCCCATTAAAAAAATAGATCCTCCGCAGTATCCATCATGTGGCGTAGCTAGGATTTGGGACAACGCGGGGGTAGGGGGGAGGAGAGCGGGGCGGGGGGGGGGGCAACATGTTTGTCACCCTCATTCTACAAAATAAAACAATCTGCAGTTGGCTGAAAATGCCACCCCTTGATATAAAGAAAAAAGTTCCACCTTGGTCGAACCGCCCCTCCTATGCCCCCTTGTATTCATCTTCACCAGGTTCCACCTATGTCGACAAGTCCATGTTTACACACTAGAATACCCACTGATGGGTTCTACTTCTTTCATTCGCCTACCGCTATCGCCACTTAATGAGCGCACTCATGCGTGTTAGTATGTATGTATGTGCTCCAGACACAGAACACTGACAGCCGTGACTCAGGGCCTAGTTCAGCCGTGCAGGATCTTAAATGAGATTCGAGATGGTATCGGTGAAGCTCGTGAGACGTTTGAAGGCGAACCTATTGGCTATAATGGTACACATGTTTTATCAGTGAAGCTGGTGAGACGTTTGAAGGTAAACCTATTGGCTATAATGGTACACAGGTTTTATCAGTGAAGCTGGTGAGACGTTTGAAGGTAAACCTATTGGCTATAATGGTACACAGGTTTTATCAGTGAAGCTGGTGAGACGTTTGAAGGTAAACCTATTGGTTATAATGGTACACATTTTATCAGTGAAGCTGGGGAGACGTTTGAAGGTAAACCTATTGGTTATAATGGTACAGATATCTTATCAGTGAAGCTGGTGAGAAGTTTGAAGGTAAACCTATTGGTTATAATGGTACACATTTTATCAGTGAAGCTTGGGAGACGTTTGGAGGTAAACCTATTGGTTATAATGGTACACATTTTATCAGTGAAGCTGGGGAGACGTTTGAAGGTAAACCTATTGGTTATAATGGTACACATTTTATCAGTGAAGCTGGGGAGACGTTTGAAGGTAAACATATTGGTTATAATGGTACACATTTTATCAGTGAAGCTGGGGAGACGTTTGAAGGTAAACCTATTGGTTATAATGGTACACATTTTATCAGTGAAGCTGGGGAGACGTTTTAAAGTAAACCTATTGGTTATAATGGTACACATTTTATCAGTGAAGCTGGGGAGACGTTTGAAGGTAAACCTATTGGTTATAATGGTACACATTTCATCAGTGAAGCTGGGGAGACGTTTGATGGTGAATTTATTGGCTATAATAGTACAAATGTTTTATCAGTGAAGTTGGGGAGACGTTTGAAGACGAACCTATTGGTTACAACGGTACACATATTATTTCATAGAGCGCTTCCAATTTGACATCCACCAGAGAACTGTACGAAACTATTTCCCAGGTTTAAAAATGACTCGATCGCACATTTTGTTGCTCCAAACAACCAACCGATTCTTACGTCTGTATGTTGACATTTGTCTGCTCACGACCTGAAGGCCGCTTTTAGATGGACTTGTCCTCTTTGACATTAGCCTATTCATCTTTGAGACATTCTAGTCATCTTTGAGATAATCAAGTCATCTGTGAGATAGTTAAGTCATCTGTGAGATAGTTAAGTCATCTGTGAGATAGTTAAGTCATCTGTAAGATAGTTAAGTCATCTGTCAGATAGTTAAGTCATCTGTCAGATAGTTAAGTCATCTGTGAGATAGTTAAGTCATATGTGAGATAGTTAAGTCATCTGTGAGATAGTTAAGTCATCTATGAGATAGTTAAGTCATCTGTGAGATAGTTAAGTCATCTGTGAAATAGTTAAGTCATCTGTGAGATAGTTAAGTCATCTGTCAGATAGTTAAGTCATATGTCAGATAGTTAAGTCATCTGTCAGATAGTTAAGTCATCTGTCAGATAGTTAAGTCATCTAGATTCTAGAATACGGCGAGTTCAATGAAAATTATTTTGTAGTTGCTGAAAAAAATGAAAATAATGGAAGGGGCCGACCATAAAGTAGGTCACACTATTTTTTTTTTTTTTTGGATCAATTGTTTCCCCTCCTACCCCCTCTCACAAGTGTGTCGAAATTCTAAGACACCCTCCTACCAAACTACATCACAATTTTCGAACTAAATAAAATATTAAAATATTAAAAACGTATAACATTTAATCTAAAACACACTTCACTAGTAAACTATTCTTTTGATAAAAAGTGACATCTACTGTTAGAATACATCCACCACAACTGAAAATCGATATAATGTTTGACATTAGTAAAAAAAATAAATAATAATTACGTACAAAATAAAATGTAACCTTTGGGTTTCGAACGACCCTTACTTAGGGGTCGCCTAAGACCATCGTAAAACACATATTTATGAAGTAGCGACGAACATAATTTAATGATTTTGGGGTCACCACACCATGAAGAACTGTTTTAAAGGGTCACGGCATTAGTGAGGCTGAGAACCACTGCACTAACTGGTTCCAATTTATAAATAAATGTATTAAAAGAATGAACATACTGTTTCCCTTGTTGCAGACTCGATCCAGGACTCACCATGTCTAATGAAATCCGATTGGCCGCCTGTCTCACGGCCATACTTCTGGTGGCGACATCTATAGTCATGACGTCATCCGAGATCTTCACCTCCTCCTTGAAGGTAGAGAGGATGATAATGGAGGAAGAGAAGCTCCTGCAGGAGTTCAAACGTTACATCGACTACCAGTACGACAGACTGAAGATGTTCTCAAAGTAAGTACGCCCACCTCGGACCCGGCACCCCTTCAACAATGTCAGTGGCGGATTGATGTTGAGCGGAGGGGAGCATGAGCGCCCCAATTTTATGTTTCTTACATGGGAGGGGCTCAGTCTTTCTATCATGGCGGGGAAATTTAGTTTAGTTAATAAGTAATTCATTAAAATACTAGAGGACTCACATATTTAATTACCTTAACATGGTCTTAACATTGTCTTGACATGGCTTAACATGATCTAACATTGTCCTAACATTGTCTCAACATTGTCTTAACATTGTCTCAACATTGTCATAACACTGTCTTAACATTGCCATAACATTGTCTTAACACTGACAGGCAGTTTCATAAGTACTCATTAGTTTTTAAGTTCATTCATTGTTTTGTTGCTTAAGACATTTTATCCTCTGAAAAGTCAGTCTATAAATTTTCAGGCGCGGTAGTAAGTCAGCTTAATACTTCTTCATACGTTCTTGGCCCCGGGGGGGGGGGATAGCTGGTATAATAGTCCATTCCCGAGATAATTTTTTGGGTGGAGATAAGTATCGAGTTAAGATAAGCGTGGAAATAGACTTGCTAAATAGGAAAACGAAATAAATGTCTGAACCTATTTTCTTCTCCAGTTAAAACTCCCCCTTGTCCATTTCGTTTCTGAGAGGTCTTACTTTCGTTATGACATCCTCTGAATTTTCATAGTGCTTCTGTTGATATGCGAGGGATGAGAGTCAAAACTGAGCTTCGAATTATTGCACACACACACACACACACACAGACACACACATAGACACACACACACAGACACACACACATACACACACAGACACACACACACATACACACACAGACACACACACACACAGACACACACACACACATACACGTGTAAGTGAGCGAATAACACAAAGACATTAAAAGAGGTGCGTTCTACAATGATCACGCCCTCTTTGTATCGCTTCATAGTCTGTAAAAATTGAGGAGGAAGTAGTGTCCGAGCCATACCTCCTCCACCCCGTTCACCCTAGTGTCAGGCTTATCGCCTGATCCGTGAGGTGAGGTAGTCAGACAAAAGGGCCACATCACTGTGTGATACAGAGTGCTACATTGTGATAACTTAGACCATAACCCATACAATTTTTACAAACATTCCCCCCCCCCCCCCCAATTTAAATCTAAATGTTGAAGAGGAAAAATTCCTATATATTCCGTATATCTGTCAGCTTCTATGCAGATCGGTTGCGTGACGTTAGGATGCGGGCCAACCCGGAAATTGTCAATGACCTTCAACATCCCAACGCTGTGTACAACGTTATCAAACGGTTTGCTTCAGACTACGCCAACGTACTGGGGGAAAACTACGGTAATTAGTTTTTTTGTTTTTTTGTTTTTTTGTTATCACTTATTTGTTCAAATTTCATCCAAAAATATATAATTCGACAGAATTAGGGCAAACAACAAGACCAATGGTAGTAATCAATGGTTGAAATCATGCCTGTACAATTGACAGTAAAATTTTGGAATTTTTTTTGTATTTAAAAAAAAAAATTGTTTGATTTTATTTTTGTTTTGTTTTTGGTTGAAGTTTTGAAATAAAAAAAATAATTGTTACGTTGTCAGCAGTTACAATTAATTATCCGAGTTGCAGTTTTTATCTGTAAACTTACAAACTAAATCAATCAAAGATCATCAAAGTTTGGATTTAAATAATTCGATAGCCTTACTTGTGATAAAAAGTCTGCCATAACGGACAAAGCTCACGTAATGGCTGTGAAACTATTTACCTGCAATTTCTTTTTTTTGTTTTCGTTTTCAGAGAGCTTCCGTCAGGTGGTTCAAAGCTCATTCGGGCAGTTCCTGGCAGACGTCAACGACGTTCGTGGGGCAAGGCTGTCCCTGCTGAGATTACAGGTAATAAAAAGTTGAGGTGTTCAATCGGATGTCAGTGCAGGGGCGTAGACATGGTATGGATATTTATACTTGTGTCCCAATCTTTTGTTTTACTTTTTGGTACTTGTTTGTTACAATGGGAAATTTTTAGTGTGAAATTTTTCTAATTGCTTTAAGCTCGGCAAGGTAGATTTCATCTTAGAGTAAACGTTTCTTTCACAACTACATTTGTATATGGGTCGTGTGTTGAAATTAACGTAATGTTTTGTAAATCTTATAAACTTAGTTTGAGTGTAGTAGACCGATTGAGTACAGGCATGAGAAAAATAGATGAAGTTTTGTATAAAAATGGTACCTCGACGTATGGCATCAACGAATGACTTGATCGGTGATGTTAAAATGTACAAGTTTGTGATTACCAACCCCCCCCCCCCAAAAAAAAAAAAAAAAAAAAAAAAAAAAAAAAACCATCTTNTTCCCTCCTCAAAAGTCCCTTTCTCATAAGTTCCCTCCTCAAAAGTCCCTTTCTCATAAGTTCCCTCCTCAAAAGTCCCTTTCTCATAAGTTCCCTCCTCAAAAGTCCCTTTCTCATAAGTTCCCTCCTCAAAAGTCCCTTTCTCATAAGTTCCCTCCTCAAAAGTCCCTTTCTCATAAGTTCCCTCCTCAAAAGTCCCTTTCTCATAAGTTCCCTCCTCAAAAGTCCCTTTCTCATAAGTTCCCTCCTCAAAAGTCCCTTTCTCATAAGTTCCCTCCTCAAAAGTCCCTTTCTCATAAGTTCCCTCCTCAAAAGTCCCTTTCTCATAAGTTCCCTCCTCAAAAGTCCCTTTCTCATAAGTTCCCTCCTCAAAAGTCCCTTTCTCATAAGTTCCCTCCTCAAAAGTCCCTTTCTCATAAGTTCCCTCCTCAAAAGTCCCTTTCTCATAAGTTCCCTCCTCAAAAGTCCCTTTCTCATAAGTTCCCTCCTCAAAAGTCCCTTTCTCATAAGTTCCTTTCTCAAAAGTCCCTTTCTCATAAGTTCCCTCCTCAAAAGTCAAAAGTTCCTTTCTCATAAGTTCCCTCCTCAAAAGTCGCCTCCACAAAAGTCCCCTCCTATACTACAAAGTCCCTTCTACAACAGTGCCTCCTCAAAAGTTCCACTTGAAAACAATTAATTTGAGTACAGCATTTCTCCTTGTTTCCCCATGTCTCAGAGCGTATACAACATGAAAGCCTTGGACATGGCAAGGGGAGATTATTTAGGCTTTCAAGGGCCACCACTAGCTCCCCTTGACGCGTTTGAGATTGGACAAACTGCTTTTACAGGTATGTGCTACATGCTAAGCTGCGGGTCAAGAATGTCACGTTCCTACAATTGGAAGACATTTTTAAACAAAATATTTTAAAAAATTATTTAAAAAAAAACAACCAAAAATCCTACCGAGTATTGATCATGGATCAAAGTTGTTTGAATGGATTATACCAGTACTTCTCTATGGATTATCAAAATGAACGAAGCATTTAGCTTCTTGATCGTTCTTCGACAATCAAAAACAATCTGACAATCTTTTATACAAACGTTATTAAAAAGCTCAAGTGTGTTTTTGTCATTTACAGTACATTTGTAAAACATTTAATATGCACCCATTTCGAAATTGCAATACGATAAGACTGCTTTGGTAAGTCAACCGTAACATTACAAACAACCGAAGCAGATAAACGAAATGCGCTATTCCACCCAAGATCTCTGTCTAATGTTTCAACAGAGGGAAAGCTCAACCTCAGCATTGATTGGCTGAATGCGTCCTTGGCCCTTTTTGCCAGCACAGAACTGCAGCATCTGGTGAACCCGGTTTACAGGCCCACTGATGGCGGAATTAAAGCCCTAATGGGGCGTGCGTATTTGTTTGTGAGTAAATAGCTTTACAGCTTAGGATAATTTTATGAGATGTTGAGATATGTCTAGGTTGAATCCCGTACTGCAGGAGATCCGGCTTTAAGCCAACGTTATAGACCAGGCTGTTAAGCAACAAAAAAAAAAAAAAAAAAAAAAAAAAATTGAGATATGTCTAGGTTGAATCCCGTACTGCAGGAGATCCGGCTTTAAGCCAACGTTATAGACCAGGCTGTTAAGAAACAAAAAAAAAAAAAAAAAAGAAAAGATGTATGGTAGCTTGGATCAAATATTCAACACCACGTAACAAACAACATTTCTTCAGAGAGTCAAACAGGCGATGGGCTAAAGCTAAACCCTAAACACATTGTTAGAAGATATATTATGCTAACCAAGCTCACAGTTGGTTGTATCATTTCTGAAAAGCATAAATATTGGATAACTACCAGGCTAGTAACATAAAAGTCACTGCAAACGTCCACTGAGTTTGTCTGCAACGTCTTTGGTTCAAGCTAAGGGATTCAACCCTTGAAGAAAAAACAAATCTGGATCTGCAGTCACGAAAAATGGGGGGGGGGGGGGGGGGGGGGGGCTGACATTTTGAACTCAGTATAGGCCTAGTTCCGACAAATCCTGGGAAACTGATGGTTCCATCAAATCGCCGATTTGATGTTCCGTTGGGTCCATCAGAGACGTGGTTTAAAAAAAAAATGAGTTGGAGTGGTGGTCCCTGAATGGGTCACACTTGCCTGTAATTACGCTGGATAAATTTCCAATGAGATTTGCGCCATGGTGCTTTGAAGAGGGACGGACTCCAAGGAACAATCATGGACGTAAAAGGAATCAGTTTTTTTTTTTTAAAGATATTAATTATTTTTACTACTAGTTTTGGCGACGTGAACACGCCACACCTGTCGAGTGCGGTAAGAGGTGCATACTCTATGATAATAATAACTACAGATGGCGCTCCATAAATACCCCAATGCTTTGTTGTGCTGACTCGATGTAGAGTGGGTGGCGACAGGTACTGATCTTATTTACGATGGCTTGTAAGTTGGCTATGAGCGTAGGAAATCAATTACCACCAGACGCTGTGAATATCCCTTGGCTGCTCAAAACTCTTTCAATCAGCGTACGAAATGAACACCGTAAGTCACTAACCAGTCAGAGCTCAGAGCAGCCTAAAAAGCCTAAGTCATTAAGCGTACGAAATGTAGAGCCGCTAGAGGTCGCTTTTCGAGCTCTTAACTTATTAATAAAGCAAAAGCACTTAATTTTTTGCTGCCACATTTCAAGGGAATTAATATCATTCAACCCCTTTTACAATATTTTCACTCCTCAACTCCCTTGGGGTGGTCACGATCCACTCTAGGATTATTATTATTATTGATGGTGGCAACGATGTGGTTATCACTCGATTTACCATCGATTTTATAAAATGCCCCTGCCAATGAGTGCCCTGTTTAATGCCGATAAGTAATATAAAAAAGCGCCCATATTTCTATTACTGGTGATGCGAATGATCTAAAACTGAAAAGTTCAGAAATGTTCAGCAAACATTTAGTTTGACCATCTCAATTTCCCTCCACAGAATGGTCAAGTCCACGAGGCAGAAGCACTTTACGACGAGGCGAAACTACTGGGTACGACCACAGTATAGACCATGTGATGTTAGATAGTCATTAGCTTAACGTGTGTGTGTGTGTGGGGGGGGGGATTGTTCTTAGGCCGTGTAAACCAACCTCCGTTACACGCGTTTTCCTTACCAACCTTGTATTGCAAAGGTCACGAATATATTCGACTGATGACGAAGTGAAGCATGGACTCCTTTGTCCAGCCAGTGACGTCACGCACCTGACGAAAGTTTGTGACAATAAGTTAACTCTGAAATATGTCCTAAATTCATCCGGTGTTTTTACGTACGGCTTCCTTGACTTATCAAGTTGATCTCCCCTCGAGCGTGAAGATGCAGTTGGAGATGAGATGTAGGGAGCTAAAAGGTACAATCTCACGCACGGTTCGTGTCGATGTGGGAAGAGCATGCTTAAGCTATACACCAACGACAATCCTCAAGTCTACACCCAGCCGGTTAAATAGTTGGTCAAACCTTCCTCTGGCCAACACCCAGCCGGTTAAATAGTTGGTCAAACCTTCCTCTGGCCAACACCCAGCCAGTTAAATAGTTGGTCAAACCTTCCTCTGGCCAACACCCAGCCGGTTAAATAGTTGGCCAAACCTTCCTCTGGCCAACACCCAGCCGGCTAAATAGTTGGCCAAACCTTCCTCTTGCCAACACCCAGCCGGCTAAATAGTTGGCCAAACCTTCCTCATGCTGTGTACTTTAGATACACGTTGAGTCACAGGTTAATCCCATGGTTCCGAAACTTTCGAGGTTCGACGCCTTTGCTGAATTCGGCTTATCCTAAGAGGCCCTTTTATGCTAAATTTTAACAATTAGGCTAATTTTAGGCCAATATTGGGCCAATTTTAGGCCAATTTAAAAAATGTATTTAATCTGTATCGTTAAATCAATAAAACGACTATTTAAGATAACGGTATTTCTAATTGCAAAATTGTCGAGGCTTCTGCAAACAGTTAAAACTTTTGAAGTGGGTTATAGTTTGTTTTTACCAGTTCCACTAGATGTCACGTCCCATCACAATCAATTGAATATGGCAAGGAAATGACAATTGTATAACATTTCAAGCTCTCTCTCTCTCTCTCTCCACACTCCCCACCAACTGTGAGACAATCGTCGCACACACTTTAGGAACCACTGCGTTAGCCCCAAAGGCGAATCTAGCAGGCAAATTCCTTGCAATACCCCCATCTATTTTCGGAGACCATTGATATGTGCAGAATAGTTTATCATTATGTTATTAATATATTAATTATTCATTTTTCTTAATGCATCCAGAGATAGGGCAACATAGTGGTCCACATAGTGATCAACATAGTGGGAAACTTAGAGGGCTACATAGAGGGCATCATAGTGGGCATCATTGTGGGTATCGTAACATAAAAAAAACAAAACAGGTTGCCTTGCTTTGCATTGATTTCACGTATCACGTATCACGCACTTTTTTTTTACAACGAATACTTGATTGTGCTTTACACCTGTCTACTTTAACACCTGTATCTGTTGGTACACAAATCATGCATCTCATCGTGTCACAAGACATTCACCTTGTCATTAGCATACCTGTCACCGTGATGTTCATTTGCATTTAGCACTAAATCATACTGCCTTATTTTGCCCCCCAGGGGTCTGGGGGAAGGGGCGCGGGGAAGGGGGCTGTCTGCCAAGGGCGGCACTTTTTTTTATTGATAGGGAAGGGCGTCATTTTCGGACATCTGCAGGGGGGCGGCTAAATGACTGGCCCGCCCCAGGGGCCACTGAAGCTAGCTAACTCACTGTTCCCATCATCACGCCGCCCTTCCCAGCCCTGTTTTATGGAATAAGCAAAAAGAAGAGAGCTGGTCTGCTACAGCAGGGAACACCACACCACAGCCCGCGGGCCGTATTGGGCCCGCGACGTCAGTTCATCAGGCCCGCCGACTGTACTTGAATGTGTACGGTCTTTAGTATCAAAAACTTTCAAAACTAAAAAAAAAAATATTTCAAAGTATTAAGGTATATAGTATAACAGAGCAAACTTTAATTAAAAAAATTAAATACGCAAACAACTTTCCCTCTTTAGTATTTTCTGAGCTAAAAATGTTCAAAGTAAGACTGCGTTTGTCCCTTGTTAACACTGACCGCATCTCCACGTTCTGTGACCCATACCGGTGTTTGCGTCATAAGCTATATAATTCTCGTTTTAATGATAATTTCATAAGACTTTTACTTTCAGAGATAATGCTGTATTTAAAAAAATGTTGTTTTAATAATGTTACGCAATTATAATTAATTTGTAAATTATCTAACCATGCACTATAATGGTCAGTAAATTCAATATAATATTTATTAATATATAGCTGTTTACCAAAACTACAGCATTCATTATACCTGTATGTGCTGTGTGGTCTATATAAGGCAAGGTATCCCCTTATTACTAAAATCGAAGTGGCTATTCGGACCCGGGTCCGAGACGTTAGAGGTTGGGATTAAAATTTAAAAAAAAAAATTATTGTTGGGTTAAACTTAAGAAAATTTTAACAAACATATAGTCCATTCAATTATCTTTCATTTGATACCAAATTTTGTCTTACTTATAAACTAAAGCTTTCCCTGGCCAATGGTTTAATAGTTTTTTTGCACACGGCAAACTCTTATGAATGAAGCTCTCAAATAGTTCTACGGCATAGCAAAATTATACAAGGGGCTGTGAATATTTGCCCATGACAGCATTTTGCACACGGAAAATTATGATAATTTATAATATGGGCTCTACCGTGTCTTTCAAGCACAAATTAAAATATTCAAGTGTAAATGTCTACAAAATGCGTGTTACAAAAAACATGGCATGAGCGAGGAAGTGTCTGGTGGGGCAGTTAAGGACTTAGTTGGAAGATTCGCAGATTCCGGGTGCTCTGCTCATACACTGCATCATACATCAGCAAGCACTGTGTGGGAAAGATTTAGATATTTCTTGTGTACCGCCGAAAGCAGTCGTTTCTCTGTGAACTTTATTTCGGGGACATGCACTCAGTCACCGTAAGTTCCAGGCTCTTCTTGAAGAGATTGACTCTGAATTCTGGGACTTGCCTTATCACACAGCAGTGAGGTGGCTCACCTGCGGTAAAGTCCTGTTTCGTTTTTACATGCTCCGAAACGAAATAGATGTTTATCTCACTGAAAAAAAAAAAATGGAGCTGATCCATAGCTGTCAGGTCCTATCTGGCTGTCAGATCCTACCTGGCTGTTAGATCTTACCTGGCTGTCAGATCCTACCTGGCTGTCCAAGTTGTCATTTTGGTCGACATCACAACCAACGTGAATGAAATGCACTTGAAACTTGAATAAGCATTTTGTGGAGAGATTTTTTAGCGCTTGGCAGAATTGAGAGTGACATTCTTCTGTTCCAGAATCCGTTTGATTGTAACCTCGATGATGTGCCAGTTGAACTACAGTCGGAGCTCATTGATAGGCAAGCAAATGACTTGTTGAAAGAGAACCACATAGAAGGTAAACGTGTTGAATTATACCGCTAATTACCTGATGTTGAGTTTCTTAAACTGGAGCAATTTGCCGCTGGTATGGCATCCGTGTTTGGAACAACTTATGTCTGCGAGCAAATATTTTCAAAAATGAAGTATGAGAGGTCAACAGATCGAACGAGAGAGACTGATGAACATTTGAAAGCAATTATTTTGTTGATTGTGTGCAGCAATTGCAAACCAAACATTGATGACATCATGAAAGCCAATCGTCAGTTTAACAAATCTCACTAACCTTTTTTGCTGCTTAGTTTGTGAGACTCGGTACGCACTAGGTCTGATGTAACTATCTTTTTTGCTGCTTAGTTTGTGAGACTCGGTACGCACTAGGTCTGATGTAACTATCTTTTTTGCTGCTTAGTTTGTGAGACTCGGTACGCACTAGGTCTGATGTAACTATCTTTTTTGCTGCTTAGTTTGTGAGACTCGGTACGCACTAGGTCTGATGTAACTATCTTTTTTGCTGCTTAGTTTGTGAGACTCGGTACGCACTAGGTCTGATGTAACTATCTTTTTTGCTGCTTAGTTTGTGAGACTCGGTACACACTAGGTCTGATGTAACTATCTTTTTTTTGCTAACATCGCCTTCTTTATACGATAACATTTTTAGTAAATTAATATGTTGGTTGTCTTTTTGCATTGCTCGCCACTCACCCATGAATCACACGGAATTCTAAACTTAGTTTTTCGTCTTTTATTCCCAGAGCTTTCGTTCTGGCTTGTAAGTACTGTACAGAATGATTATGTGGCCTACGCTCGTCATTTTCTCAGTTCTCCGGCCCACTGTGAAAAAAGTTACGTGACCTCTGTGCTAAAGGGCACAAGCGGATGAAAAGAGAACTAATTATTTGTGTCAACATGTAGAGTTCAGCTCGTTGTTACAACAAGAGAGAGAGAGAGAGGGGGGGGGGGGGGTTAGGGCATCTCTGTTTTTCGCTAAAAGCTGGCTGTAAATATTAGGGGAACAACTTCATGTTACATTAAAATGCGGGCACAATGTGAAAAACGAATTGTTTAAAAAAAAAAAACCTCCAAAAGAGAACTAATTATTTGTGTCAACATGTAGAGTTCAGCTCGTTGTTACAACAAGAGAGAGAGAGAGAGGGGGGGGGGGTTGTTAGGGCATCTCTGTTTTTCGCTAAAAGCTGGCTGTAAATATTAGGGGAACAACTTCATGTTACATTAAAATGCGGGCACAATGTGAAAAACGAATTGTTTAAAAAAAAAAAAACCTCCAACAGGGGCGCAGGAAAAGGGGGTGAGGATAGGAAGCGGTCCGCCCCGGGTGGCACATGATTTTCTTTATATAGAGGGGAGGCATTTTCATCCTAGGGCTTTTATCATGGAAGCGTGGCGACACAGTTATTGGCACGCCCGGGGTGACATTAGTGTTAATTACGCCATTGCCCACAAATGATCCTTGAAACTTGGAGTTTGTGCCTTACGAGATGTCTTCAGATTCATTACACTGTAATCCATCCTATTGTTTGAAAAGCCAATGAGCTGTATAAAAGGGAACTGAGAAAGAAAAGCGTTTGAAGACATAACACAGCTGAACAGCCCGATAAACCAGACAACCGATTAGAAGACTATTGCTTGTATCCAGTGACTCCACGTATCCAGTGACTCCACGTATCCAGTGACTCCACGTATCCAGTGACTCCACGTATCCAGTGACTCCACGTATCCAGTGACTCCACGTATCCAGTGGACTCCACGTATCTAGTGACTCCACGTATCCAGGGCCGTCACGAATCCAAGGGCCGTTGCGTATCCAGGGCCGCCACTTATCCAGAGTTGTCACATATGCAGGGCCGTCAATTATCCAGAGCCGTCATGTATCCATAGCCGTTGCAGGGGGGCCTCGAAAACATCACGTGATTTAGCTTTGGCTCGTATCTACTGACTGGAATCTAATAAATAACTGTGCTAGCTAAATCTTGCTTAGAAGGGCGAGTTAAATTTCATTAGGACAATATCAGCTCATCATTGTTACCAACCAACTGCTCAGTTTAAAAAAAAAAGCGCGTAGTTCTGATCTTTATTTAATTGTATGGATTCTCAGTGGCGTCACTAGAGGGGAGGTTGTGGACCGCACCGGGTGACACCAAACCTAGTGATGATGCCTCTGTAGATCCTGTATGAACTCTTTCCATGCAACCAAACCCAAAAAGAGACATGTAGTGAAAGAAATGTGAACTGTCACAATCCAAAAGGAATATGCGAGTCCTAACTATGATATTTTCTGTTTCATTTCTGTTTGCAAAATATTTTTGTCCTATTTTTTTTTTCTTTAGATCCCAATCATGGCGATGTTGGAGAATTAGAGAGAGAGCTTAGGTCACAGCCTAGACTTCAGTCGATTCCTCATGTGGATTACTTTCAGAACTTCAGTCGGTTGTGCAGCTTAGAGAATCGACATTACCCGGCGGTATGTAAAAATAGACAAATTTGAAAACCAGTGTGTACGTGACGCTCTATCGTCTGTAAAAAGTGGCAAAACAAACAAAATAATTTATCTGGAGGTGTTAAAATTTGTATCAAACTGCATAATATAAGGCTGTCTGAGACTATCTCCCTTTATTTTCTTATTTTTTTTTTTTCTTACGACTTGCTTGAGAGGCATTTTTATTTTTGCCTTTCCTACATTAAAACGTATATTTTGATTTCAGGAACCCAACAACCCAAAGATTGTGTGCAGGTACAGGGAGGCTGTTCTGCCTTACTATCGTTTCAAGGAAGAGATTCTGTCCTTGGCGCCGTTTGCCTCAGTTATCTACAATGTGGTCAGCGATCAAGAGAGCGATCATTTAAAGAATTTTGTAAAGAATAGGGTGAGTAGGCAGAAGAACTAACTGACTTCTCATTCGTAAGAAGGAGTAGAACTTGATGACTTCCCATTCGTAATCGTTAAAATTACATTTAAAGAAATATTGTTAAAATAATAATATATTAATGATATAGGACTTGTTACTTTTAAAAAGATAATAAAAACTAAATGACTTGGCCTTGGTCACTATTGTTGTCATGGGGCGTTGACTGCAAGGGATATTCTTTATTGTGAAATTTGGTTTGAAAAAAAAAAGTAATTTCTTTTAAACAAAACCTTTTGAGAACTGTATTATCAACTCAACTTAGTGTCATGTATAAAGAGATGTAACATTATTTGGATATTTAATATTCAATATGTGGAAATAAAGATCCTCCATGGTCCATAGAATACATACAATTTATTTTAGGTATTTTTTTCTAAAAAATAAAATAGTATACGTTGTTAAAAATTAATAATAATTCCTTTCCAGTACTCACATATATAGACGATCGGTTGAAAGAAAGACTTGCTAACATTGAAATAGTGATATAAGTGTAAAATAGGTTTCACATGTAGGCTATTAAAAAAAATAATAAAGGAATTATTCTGAAAAAGATAAATTATGGAGTTTGTTACAGTCTGATCCATTTTTATGTCTCTGCAGCTAGAGAGGGGAAAAGTTGGAGGAGACAACTCTACTGTCTCGGAAATTAGAACAAGTGATCTGTACGTTATTCATTTGATTGCCTTTTTAATACTTTTATTCACTTAACCAAGACATGCTATTAATGTTGAGTCCTTTGTTACGAATTTATCTACAGCCATTTAAGGTGAAGATGTTAATTGTCAATGACGAGTCAGGAATTCATAACATATTGTACTATGACTATGAAAAACAAATTTAATGCCATATATATGATTATTTGATAGTCGATTTGTTAGTAAATATAACTAAGTCAATTGATAAAAATAGTGAGTCTCCGTCTGAGTGTGAATGAGAATGACATCAATTTTCAATATGACACAGTCACAGGTGAACTGTAAAATATTAGCAGCCTTTATTCACCCCATCCCACCTTTTATTTGGCCAAACATTTTTAAAAAGAGCCATAAGAACTTAATTATAATACATTTTGGCTTCATGTCATGTACTGTACAATACTGTACATACTTACACTTACAAATTACAATATATAGCTTACTGAACTGTTACTGCAAGATCTTTACTAACTAACTCATCACATACTGTTATTTTTATGATGGTTTTAATCTTGTTTATGTTAATTATGTCAGCGCTTGGATATGGGACAATGAATCCCAGCTGGCCAGATCAATGGCAAAAAGGATAGAATGTATCACAGGACTAGATACATCTCAGAGACTTCCTGATGGTCCATCATCAGGTGAAGCTTTTCAGGTAAACATTTTTGCCAACTGAATAGTAAATACTAATAGGTATTGGTTGCACTGATATACTTTTCATGCGTGGATCATGAAAAAAAAAAAAGGAGCACCCAAAGAATTATTTATGATTGTTAATCATAAAGGATTTAAATTTAATTCCTTGATTGCCTCATTTTTTTCATAAATCCTATATTTTAGCATAATAATGAGAAAGGGATCAGCCTATGATTATGGTAATAGACATGATATATGTAAGATTAGTTGGTAAATTTAATCTGCTGCACTTATCTTTTAATGTGTGGGACAGGTTGTCAACTATGGTCTTGGTGGACACTATGAAGTACACATGGATCCTTTTGATGTAAGTATTTACTGAATATCTATACAGAGCATCTTGACGACATTTATTACCAATTTTTATTGTAAATAATTTTTTTTTTGGTGTAAAAATAAATACATTCTTTAGCGTATGGTCTATGAATATTATATGATTAAAAAAAAAGGATGGCAAATTTAACAGCTTAATTTTTAAATGACAATTGGTATTGAAAAAAAAATTTGTTTGAAAACTTTGATTAGAATTTTTAAGAGAGGTTTCTGCAAAATAAAAAAAATTAAAAAATAAATAAAAACTAAACTGCTTTGATATGTCATGACATTGGGCATATCTTAACCAAAGTCTATCCTGCATGAAATATTTTAATGTGCCAAAAAGGAAAAAAGTTTCCTTTGAATATGTTGTTCTTTTCTTTAACAACCTTTTTTGCATTCAATACCATATTATTTGTTAAGTCTAAAAATTCTCATTAATGGAAATAAATGAAATTTTTAGAGTCTATAAAAATCCTATCACTTAAAACTTTGTGATTATCAACCTAAAAATTATTTGATTTCTCGTGACAGGAGCCACCTAAACAGGCAGAGCTAAAGGATTCAGGGGAAAGAATAGCCACATTTCTTATCTATGTAAGAGTCTACTTAAAAACTTATAAAAAATCATTATGTAAAAGTCTACTTAACAACTCATAAAATCACCAACTCGTTCCTCTATAATTATTATGAAATTTGAAATACAAAACTTAGCTATATTATATAAATTAGAAAGAAGGAAAAATACTAACAGTCTTTCATTTTTAAAAATTTAAATCTCACATCCTTGTGAGTGACTCAGATGGTAACTACTCAAGAAGGAACATGACGCCTTTTAAAGAACGCACAAGGTCTGAAAAGTTGCAACCTGTGTGTTGGGTATTAGGAGATAGAAAGAGATTCATCCCATCATGTTTCTAAATTGAATCTACTTTTTAATGAATGTTTTTATTCATTTTGTCCAAAATCTTCATCAATGGAAATTTATTATAGTCATGAGGAGATGATTGTTGTTGATTTTTTTGTTTAGTAAGCTTTGATAAGACTTCTATACTCTAAATATGAGATGGGGGCTTGGTCATAGGTTAGCTCAGGACTCATATTCAAAGAAGCCTGAAATTTACATGTGGACTTAAATTATGAATAATGTGTTTCCTAATACAAGTTTAGAACTTGACAGACTTGACATATAGTTTTTCAGCTTAGTTATATTAAAACTAGAATTTGATAGCAAACAATATATCTATTGTAATATCTAAAATAAGACAAGACACATTAATCTTTTTTACCAAACTGAGTTTGAAAACCGGGACAAAGATTCAAACCAGGGGGAACAAAGCTGCTGGACCAGGATGATCCTAGTCAAACCAGGACGAATGGTATATGCGTTTTATCATTATCCTTATTAAAATAATCAGATCTGTTTCTGTTTTAGTTAAGTGATGTACAGAGAGGAGGCTCAACAGTATTTACTAGAGCTGGGATATCTGTTGCACCAATGAAGGTAAGTTTGTAAAAAAAAAATTATAGTCTCATTAAGTTGAGAGTAGCATAACATTCAGTTTGTGGAAATAATTTGACTCAGCCTTGCTAAGAGATCAAAATCTCTTGTAACATAATCCCTGTTTGAGCCGAATAAAATAAGCTTTTACTTTTTTTTGAAGCACACCGAAATAGTGTGAAAAATATAAGAGCACTTATATAAACTTACATATATAGTTTCTTAAAAATCATGTTTAGAAACTTGTTTTTTGAAAAGCTACATTCAGGTGGCAAAGCTGATCACCAATTGAAATGAGCTGAAAGAAAATTTTGACTAGATTAAGAAATGGTTGTATTATTAAGACCCCCCCCCCCCCCAAAAAAAAAAAAAAAAAAAATTTTTTTTTTTTATTTTTTAACCCCCCCCCCCCCCCCCCCCAAAAAAAAATAAAAAAAAATTGTTTTTTTTTCTGTACCTAGTTATTTGCTATTTTAATGTATTAATTATGTTTGTAAAAAAAGTTTACAAAATATAGAAATGTGAATTCATGCAGCTTTAACGTAAGAAATAATGTAAGAAATAATATTTTTTTCATGTAAAAAATTATCACTTAGAATTATTTAATGTAAAAAATATCATTTATTTAATTTAACCTTTTTTGAATTAAAATGGGAAATGTCACAATGTTTGTTGTAAATTAAAAAAAAAAATTTGAGATAGAGGATATATGCCAGTCGTTTCATAACTGTGGGATAATGTACCCCTCTATACCTCATCTGTACGCCCTCTTTACCCCATTCTTAAAAATGATATAGCCAAATTTAGATACATATACAGGCTTTCATAAACACTTAACATTTAGGGAGCTTATTTTCACCCAGTCATTTCTATAACTCCCCACTGAGACAACTTCTGACCCGGGGGGGGGGGGGGGGGAAGGATGGGAACTGCTAGTATTTATTTACATCATACCACAATAAATTGACTCTTGAAACTGGATATTTTGTCCTGTTTCAACAATGTCATACATTTTACTGAACAATGCAATTCTTGACATCTCACCTAGAACATGGCCTTGATGTGGTACAACTATGATCCTGCACATCAGAGGGATGATTTGACACACCATGCCGGCTGCCCTGTTTTGATTGGTCAGAAGTGGAGTGAGTTGGAACTGTTCTCCTTTGATCTAGTTTAAAGTTAAAAAATAAAATCTGATTAAGAGTTTTTATCAATTTGCATAGCATGAATATTGACAGTTCTTAGGATCAATGAGAGAATCTTATATTATCCTATCTAATCTGAAAAAGTCCAGAAACACTTAATTATTAATTATCTTTCTTTCCGCCTGATTGTTTATTTATTGGAATTAAAGCTGAGATGCCTTTTGGAGTTGATTAAGTTGTATAACTTGCCTACTTATCCATTTTACCCGCCTGGGTCACAGGCAATCTACAAGAATTTTCCATTCATTTTGGTCCTTTGCCTTCCTATGCAGTTGCTTTCATGTGTATCTTATACTTTGTGTGTCTGCTTCTAATTTGAGTAGCCGTGTGTTGTCTGGCCTTCATCTCTCTTCCCTTGTGGATGCCATTTTAGAGATTGTCTGGTTGGTTTTGTCATGTGTGGGGGGGGGGGGGGGGTGTTTACAAAGATTGTGACCTACTCACCTCACAAAAAATTTCAACATTATCTCTGTAAAACAGACCCTGTGTTTCACAAACACCTTTTTGATTGTCTGTATTGCAGTTTGCAACAAATGGATATGGACATATGGCAACACATTTCGCAGACGATGTGGTCTTACCCCTGGTGCTACGCAGCTGGAAATTGAACCAGATATGAAAAGAGGATACTTATAACACACCAAAATATTTGTTTTAATCTGAATGTGAGCTGATTTAAGGAATATTTAGGAAATATTTAAAGAATATTTCTTGGGGAGGGAAAGAGCAAGACAAGATAACTTTTACAAGCTTTATCATTCCAACACTCCAAGGTCAAATTGAAGGATATTTTCAATAATATTTGTTCAGCATAATTATATTAAAAAAAATGTTTTTAGCCAATTTTTATATTGTTATTTAGAATGAGACAAATTAATTAATGTTTTTTTTTTTTTTGAAAAAGCTTTACACAAATTTTTTTCTTTTTTAATTTTTTTTTTAAATTATATTTTTTCCCTTTAGGAAGGTTTTTTAAAAAAAGTTTTTAGCCAATTTTTATATTGTTATTTAGAATGAGACAAATTAATTAATGTTTTTTTTTTTTTTTGAAAAAGCTGTACACAAATTTTTTTCTATGTTAAGTTGATTTTTAAAGTAGATTGCTTCCCTTTAGGAAGGTCTTTTAAAAAAATACTTTCCAGGATATTTTCTTTAATGTTTAAAAAAAAAAAGGGATTGTTTATATAAATTTTAACCATATCATTATGGTAAATGACTCCCATAAAACTGTGCCTACATAGTCACGTGTGTCTACATAAATTCACTGTTTATGTGTTCAAGGCTTTATGTCACAATTTTGAATAAAATTCTTGATGTCACTTTTCACATTTTTGTGAACTGCTATGCCAAATTCAATTGCATTCTGACATTCAGTTTTGAAGTCAGTTTACAATAAGAATATCTCAGATGACTGAAGAAAAATTGGCTGACTTTGAAAGGCATATTTTTTTAAAGATTTAGATTTATTTTATTTATTAATATTTTTTTTTTAAGGCAAGACAATGGTGAGATTTAAAATGGTCTTTTGACAAAGGCTACAGTAATTATTTGTGAATAAATTTTAGTTTGCCTTACATCTTTTAATAATCTCTCATTCTGATTAGCTTTGGTTACAAACATTATTTTTTTAATAACTTAAAATATGCAACATGTTTTATTGGCCTATCGTTCATTAATTTAATTTTTTTTAGTAAGTGAAGATATTTAATTATTTAATTAAAATATTTATTCACATTGGCTAATGAATTGTAAAATCATAAAACCATATATTTCTTACACTGCAAATAAGAAGTATTTTCTACTGCAATTTGTAAAAAATGAAATGTTGAACACACTTTATCCCTTCTAGTGGTTAATTTTCCTACATAATGTACTTATTATTTGGAATGTGATGCACTTATATTTGCTTATGTTTTTTTGAATTCCATTTTACAAAAGATTTTATGAGTGTTTCCAGTTGATGCTGTGGGTAATTGATGCAAGGAATGATAATATATAAACAGCTGTCTAAAGGTTGTTTTGAATTAAATAATATAATTTTTGTAGATTTGTTTGTTAATATGAATATACTGGATTAAAGACAGGATTTTAGGTCTTTGAATACAAGGGTAGGCATTTTATATAGTATTTAAGAACTTCTGTTCAAGGACAAAAATTATTGTAGAAGATGTTTAAACTCAATGTAATTGTTCATGAGTGGCCAGGGAAAAGATGCCTAGTAGAGATTACGCTGACAGGTTTAGTAATATAAAAAATGACTACAGACAACCAGTAAAAGAACTTTGCAGAAATTTTGTTTGGCAGACAATTCTTCTCTGACTTATTGACTTGACTTTGTCAAAATAAGAGCATTATATAATGCAATTCTTTGTTTATTTTTGTTTTATATTTAAAATCACGTTTTACTCCTGTCTTTTTGTGGAGTAGTTTCTTGTTATGTGTCATTTACCTGATACATTTTCCCCTTAATATTAAACAAATAGTAAGGCAAGAGGTTCCCAGAGTATTTTAGGTTACAGCGTCATTGTTTCATTAAGGTATTCCCATGGCGACTTATCTTTAACAATTACATTGCAAGCTTTTCACTTCACGTGCAGATGTTAGGAAGCACTTGCTGCCCAGCAAACCGTGGAACACAATTTGTAAAACTTTGCTTTAGGTTAATTATTTTTATTTAATAAATTGTTATAATTCAGTTTGGCTTATTTTTGTTTTTGAAATTGTCAGAAAAATGCAGTAGAGAATAAATTTGAAAGGAAGTTAATGATTTTTTTCTCTTTATTTTTGACAATGAAATGAAAGTAAAGGTGTAGGATCTTATCTTCATAATTTAACATCATATTTAGCTTCATATTTCAGCATCCTATCTTAGCATACAATTTTAACATCTTATGTTAGCATCTTATATAGCTTCATATTTTACCTCATATTTAGCTTCATATTTTAGCATCCTATCTTAGCATCACATTTTAGAATCATAATTTAGCATCATATTTAGCTTCATATTTTGCATCCTATCTTAGCATCATATTTTAGCATTCAAAATTCTGTTTGCTCTATGTCTACACCAGCATTCTGTCATTACATACACAGAATAGAAAAAAAAGTAATGAAGATACATTTAACTTAAAATATCACAAAAATTGTAAATATAAACTCTCAAGTTCTTTGGAATACAGTGACAGCTGAGAGCGAGGTCTCTTTGTGGTCGTCTTCGTGGTTGTCTTCGTGGTCTACCTCGTGGTCGTCTTTATGGTCTACCTCATGGTCGTCTTTATGGTCTACCTCATGGTCGTCTGTGTGGTCGACCTCGTGGTCGTCTTTGTGGTCTACCTCGTGGTCGTCTTTGTAGACTACCTCCTGGTCGTCTTCGTGGTCTGCATGGTGGTCGTCTTCGTGGTCCTCTTCGTATAGACTCTGGGCTTTAGATCCATTTATGAGTAGGCGAAAGTGGAAATATTGGAGCCGACACCAATAAAATTGGAAGGGCTGGGTTGGAGCAAAGGTAAGGTAATAATTTATGCCATGGTAATCCTCTCCAAGAGGCTAAATGTTAATTATTATTTCATATTTTACACTGTCTTTAGTGTTGTTTAATTAATAAAAAAAGTATGTGAAAACCTGAAAAAAAATAGCCCCACAAAAAAAAAATTAAAAAATTGTCGGCAAGAAGCCTGCACCAGCGAACAAACAACAGTAGAAAAACAGAATTAAATTTAGAATTTAAAATAACAGAGTTATTTTTATTGCCTTTTAAAAAAAAAATAATTCTGTAACCTCGTTCGGCTGTCTTAAAGAAAAAAGCAATGGCTAGTCATGAATAAGTTTTGCAGAAGAAACTTAAAAAGATGCCTGTAGTGTTTTTTTTTTTAAATACCCATTTTAGGCAAAGGATCGTTTTAAAAGTGGATTACCTCCCTTGAAAACCCTTTTAAAAAAAAAAAAATATTATAAAGAAAGAATGAAAATATATTAATAATTAAATATTTTATAATTTTTTTTAAAATTTTCAAAGATAGATATAAAAAAAAAAGTCAAAAATACCCATTTTAGGCAAAGGATCGTTTTAAAAGTGGATTACCTCCCTTGAAAACCCTTTTAAAAAAAAAAAATATTATACAGCAAGACTGAAAATATATTCATGATTAAATATTTTATAATTTTTTTTAAAATTTTCAAAGCTAGATATAAAGAAAAAAGTCAGGGGGGGAGGTGAGAGAGAGAAAAGGAGAAAACCCAATGATATGTAAAAAAAATAATGAAAGAACTAAAGCAGACACATAGTTGTCTAATCGTATTACATAAAACTGTGTCAAACAGTATCATTTCAGATAAGAGATTACGCCATTCAAGTGTTGAAGTCTTTGCGTTACAGTGTTGTGTATATAGGTTTAAACGTCACTTTCCAGTATTTCACCACGTGCGTCAAAGCGGATTTAACGGAAAAATCAGAATGGGTTCAATAGAAAGAACTGTTCGATGACATACAAGAATTTCATGTTGGTTTTAAAGATATTTGCATATTAGCTTGCGCAACTCAGGTAGAATACGGGGAGAGGTGCATAATCTATTATAATACACCCCGATGGAGCTCCATACATTGACCAAGGCTTAGCTGCATTGACGCCTTATAGAGTGGGTAGCGACAGGCACTGACGCTGCTTTGGATGGCTTGTAAGACGGCAATGAGCGTATGCAATCAATAAGGGCTGGAAATCATTTACCATCATACCCGTGAGTACGCCATGCTGTTAAAAAAGAAAAAGCCTTTCAAAAAGCATATGACAGAAATATCGTAATTCAATACCAGTCAGAGTTCGGAGCAACCTAAAAACACCAAGTCAGTAATTCAAAACCTGTCAGAGTTAGGAGCAACCTAAAAACACCAAGTCAGTAATTCAATACCAGTCAGAGCTCGGAGCAACCTAAAAACACCAAAATCAGTAATTCAATACCAGTCAGAGCTCGGAGCAACCTAAAAACACCAAAATCAGTAACTCAATACCAGTCAGAGCTCGGAGCAACCTAAAAACACCTAATCAGTAATTCAATACCAGTCAGAGCTCGGAGCAACCTAAAAACACCTAATCAGTAATTCAATACCAGTCAGAGCTCGGAGCAACCTAAAAACACCAAGTCAGTAATTAAATACCTGTCAGAGCTCGGAGCAACCTAAAAACACCAAGTCAGTAAGTCAAAACTTGTCAGAGGTCGGAGCAGTCCCGCACCTGTTGGGAAAGGGGGGGGGGGTGACAACCATAGCACTCGTCAGGGAATCGAGCTAGATAGGGGCCCGCTCTTTTTCGAGTTTCTTTATGTACACTATTAAAATATACGCACAGGTTTGAAACACGAAAGGGGCCCGAACTCTGTCAGCTGCTTACGCCAAGAATTTTCTAGTTGCGGGCCTGCTCGGAGCCGCCTACACTCCCTTACTTTGTAAGCATACGAACTGTAGAGCAACTACATGTCGCTTTCCCAGCTCCTAAGCTATTAAGTACCAAAAAAAAATATATATATATATATAATTTAATAATTAATGCCAACTTTCAAAAGATTTCTTATAATTTAACCACTGTTAAAAATGTTGTACTCCATAACTCCCTTGCGACGGGCAGGATCCGTTCGGGCATTATTATTAAAGATTTTTTTTGTGTGTGTATATTCCCTGGTACTGAAATATGGAAATCACAACACCCACCCACACTAACAAATGTCCTGTGCCCAGCCAATGAAACCCCCCTCGTCCCCAGGAATCCCGGTATATCAGCAATGTCGTCATCACAATCAGTCTTGAAATCCCCACAGGAAACAAAGTCAGTCTTGAATTCCCCCCAGACGGCGAGATAAGAGACCTCACAGAAAGCCACGAAGACATATTGAATTTTTTTTTTAATGTACAAATACAGTACAATGAAGGAAAAAAAAACAACAGGGGCGTGTACATCAGAGAGAAAGCGTATCTGCTAATAAAATTTTAAAAAAAAAAAAAAAAAAAAAAATATGACACTTACTTTTTTGCTAAGTCATGTCGAAATCTTTCGAAATGTTTGTCTAGCATCAATGCCGAAACATAAACTCCAAGTTTCAATTCCTTATAAATTGTATTCTGCCATTGTTACAAGACATTTCTCTCAACAAGGGGGGAATTGGGGTGCATTTTTTGGATATTTTTTAAAACAACTCTGTAATCAGTGGCGTAGCTAGGGGTTGGTGCCACCCGGGTTGGGCCAGGACCCGCCTCCATGAAAAAAGAAATCTGCCCATTGGCCGAAAATGCCTCCCTTCCAAAAAGGACGGAGGGGGTGGGAAGTGCCCTCAGAGGCGGACCACGCACTCCGAACCCACCTTCCTGCGCCAGTGTCCATGATAGTTATTTTTTTAAAAACCATTATGTTTTTAATTTTTTTTAAAAACCGGAAGTTGGTGAATTCTATTGGTCCCATGAGTCCGATTTCTTGTTTGTACATCGGACCGCAATGCTTTGGGCTCGATAATATGTCGTAAGATACGATCTTCAAAGAATATATTCATAACACTCACCCACGCATAACAATATTGTCCGGTCAGTATTTATAATTATTTAAGTTTACCATAAACACCCCCCCTACTCCCCGTTCTCGTGTAATTGATGCTTAGGTCTTTTCTTTCACCACCGCCACTTTTTTTCCCCCCATTCTGACTACGCCCTCACCAATCAGACGCGGTTACCCACGCAATCGAAATCCCAGTAGTGATAACCAACCCCCTGCTGTTAGACTTGTAGCACAGGGGTCATTCCAACATTTCCCCACATGGATATTCTGGGGACTCCACGATCTCTCCAGTGGAGAGTTTTATCCTCGTTGATCAATTAGTGCTGAGGAGGTGAGTTGGATTCTGTCACTTGTGATACCATCAGGGTGTTTATTGTGTAGGAAACTCAGAAAATTATTAGTGTTAAGAAAAATGCGTAAAATAATAACCCGAATTATTATGGTTTAAAAAAATAAATTAATCACTCATTCTTTTTTTTATTTTATCTCCGTTAAAAAATATGGATATCTGTCTATAAAATTTTTTTTTTTTTTTTTTACTATTGTTATTTTCAATTTCTTCCAACTGTCCATTGGTTTTCTTTCTCTCTTTTCCTCTGTAGCCATTTCTCTCTGTCTTTATCACTCAATTTAACCACAGTTATTGTTCTGATTCCTTTACCGAAGTTATTGTTCTAATTCCTTTACCATATTTATTGTTCTAATTAATTTCTAGTCACAGTTATTGTTCTAATTCCTTTACCACAGTTATTGTTCTATTTTTTTTACCATGTAATTGTTTTAATTTCTTTACCACAGTTACTGTTCTAATTCCTTTACCAAAGTAATTGTTCCAATTCCTTTACCACAGTTATTGTTTTAATTCCTTTTACCAAAAAAGATTTTTCTAATTCCTTTATCACAGTTATTGTTTTTATTCCTTTACCACAGCTATTGTTCTAATTCTTTTCCTCCGTTATTTTCTAAACGATTTCTGTCCGTCGCCTCTAACCGGACAATGTGACCACTTGACCATTGGTGGGTTTAATTCATTGAGTCTCACAGGAATCCAACAAATGAGTTCAACCATGTTGACATAACTGAAAGGTTTTCTTATACCAAACCAAATAGCGTAGAAGCGATCTGCATGTCAGACCTGATTGTTGCTATCTGTGTTGACAAACATTCCCGTGGCCCCTGTCGTCTGATAACATGGGGTCATGTGTCACTAGACTCTTCGTAATGTTAGACTATTAAATGTATTCTTCCCCTCCCCCCAACCCTTTCTTTACTCATTTGTTTCACTATTTCTTTCTTTCTTTAATGCTTTCTTTGCTTCTTGATTTTTTCTTGTGTTTATTTCCTTTTTTTTCTCCTTCGTTCGCTCTAAACTCTTCAAACATAATTCTTTGATTTCTTACTGATTGGGAAATATAACACGTTGTTTCACCTTTCATAGACTCCTGCGCGCATTGTGACGATGATGTTGGCAGTGCGCCTTAACGCCGCGTGTTTGCTGGTGGTGTTGGCTAACACGTCGGTGCACCTGCGCAGAAGAAGTAGTGACCCAGCGTTGGAGACGTGTTCACCTCTTTGTGACGTAGAGACTGAATTGGAAGTGAGTCACAAATCTGATTTTTTTTTTTAAAGTTACAAATTAAGTGAAGAATTTCAGGGAAACCTCACGGTACTCTAGTGGCGCAGTATATTTAGAAGAGAAAAGGATGGCCCCCGGGACCCCTCTTTAGCTGGAGGGTATTCCCCCCAACCAAACCCTCCCTGCGTGTGTCCCGTTTTTTTCCAGTTCACGATTTGCTAACCCTATGCTATGGAAGACATTGAAAAAACGCTAAGGAAAAATGAAAAATAGAAACAATGTTGGCCGTACCTGTTAACATGGTGTCGCAATCGTCAACAAGCTTGACCAATTAAACACTTGGAGATGTTAAAATTATAGAAAGATTGCATCTATTTCTAGTTATCCACAACATAAAGAACTACATATCACATGACGGCGTCTTATTCTTTGACCTGAATTCGAAGTAGGTCAGTTCTGTTTTGGACTCCAATGATATAACCTTGTGTTATTGTTCTTAATGAAACGACATACGAAATGTACTTTGGCTGAGAACTAAATATGAAATCAAGTTTGAAATGAATGTTTTTAAAAAAATTTGAATTATGTCTTGGAAAAAAAACAGGGCACGTCGCTCCTGTAAAGTTTTAAAGACCCCCCCTCCCCCGAATGCCACTTTTTGTGTGCTTGTGTGGGGTATGGCGGCATGGGTATATGGAAGTGAGTGGGGGAAATGGGGTTAAAGCTAAAAAGTATATTAAATTAAATTAAATGGACTTCATTATTGGAAACATCTAGCCAATGGAAATTCATATCCGTCAAATGGGGCTTCACTCATTGGGGGTAGGGGGGGGGATATCATTGGGGGGGGGGTAAAAAAAAGTGGGGGAGGGGGTTGATAAATTGTGAATAATAGTTTTTCAAAATGCTTCAACATTAAATTCTAAAAAAAGTGTTAAGGATACAGTAAAAACGTACCGGTGCTCAAAGTCTTAGTAGATCGCTTGTTATTGGATGAAATACGTAAATGCCTGTTTTTTTTAATGTTTTTTTTATTTTTACTTTTCAAATAATATCTATTGTTGCTGTGACTCCTACAGATGCAGTGCGCCTTATCTAATGGCTGTTTTGACATCCAAGACCAGGACTCTGACTCTGGCGCGTTTTCTGATTGTTGGGCGCCGTGTTGGGAGCTGGTCAGTCCATGTTTTAAGTGAGAAACAGTTATTTCATAAAAAAATCTCTGTTTATCTTGACCACAAAAGCTAGCCAGCGACCCTTGATTTCTTGAGTCTAGGGCTCCATTTCACATCACACGCCAGGGGCCATTTGAAAGCTTTAAAAAATTTGAGGAAAAAATATTGGAATTAACTATTAAACTTTTTTGGGGCCAAGATGTTGAAAGCGTAGTGCAAGTGCTTGTTCTGCGTCAGCGGTTCTGAACCTGTGTGTCGTAACCCCGGGGGGGGGGGGTCGCACGACCCTTTCACAGGGGTCGCCTAAGACCACCCGAAAACACATATTCTCCTCAGTTATACAGTTATAAAGTATTATTTTCGTTGGGGGTCGCCACAACATAAGGAAATGTATTAAAGGGTCGCAGCATTAGAAAGGTTGAGAACCACTGTTCTGCGATGTTGGTAATTTCTATATACTATGAAATGTGTTGCACGTGTGATACGTCACTTAATCATTCAATAGCATTAATGCATCATTACCTATGATCATCATCATCCTTATCTTTGCAGCCTGTGTGTCCAGAGCTTTGATCTCTTTTTGAAGCAGTGTTTCAACAGTTGCCAGTCGACTCCTGATGACCAAACGTGCATGACGGCATGTTTTTACATTATGTTTTCGAACCTGAAAAACGAGTAGGTTCTCTCTTGGATGCTTTCAAATAACTGACTTTTTTTATATTGAGAAGCTCATTTAAGTTTGACGTCAATATTTTTTTTACTGGGAGTTGAAGAAAGGGGTGTTTAACCCAGAAGAAAGGGTGTTTAGTCGGAGCAAATGGTGTTTAGCTGAAGCAGTGCATTGGTTGGTATAAGAGAGAGAGAGAGAGAGAGAGAGAGAGAGAGATACAATTGGTCGGCGTAATGTAGTAGAGCCGTAACTTTGCTTTTGGAGGTCCTCTTCATTCAAACTTGATAGCTATGTCACCCCTACGTTACAAAATTTTTGGCCCCTTAAGTTTCCGCACCCGCCCTGCAGGGCCATGCCACAGCTCAAAATGAAGGCAACGCTGGGGAAGAGCCAAACCTCCTTTCTCCCGGAGTCGTTTTAAAGGATATGTTTGTAAGAACTACCGAAAACGTATAGATTTCAGAGATTCATTTGTAGATGACAAGCTCACTAAATAAAGTACAGTAGGTAATATATGTTTTTTTTTTTAATTTAAAAAAAATTCACAAATATTTTTAGTATCATAATATTTCGCTTTCGATTACTTAAGCACTTTACCCCAATTTATCTTATTTGTTTTCCCTACAAGCGTGCTATACGGAGGAATGAACGGTACACATATCAACGACTCAACCAGCGCACAAGTGGACACAGCAACGCCATCATCATCAGCATTAGAAAGCTCCTCCGTCGATTCATCATTGACATCCTACACGGCCAGATCCACCAACGTCATCCTTGCGGCATTGGAAATTGACCAAATTCTGGATGGGAGCATCATAGAAGACGTCTCGACGGAACATCTGGCGCAACCTTTAAGTGACTTGGAAAATACAGTGAGGTATGGCGATAAATTAAACTCCATCGAACTGCCAGATTTCGTGGAAAAGGTTGACTCTATCCAGGCGAAGGCAATTGAAGACGAGACGGCCAAAGAAGGCCGGACACTGCTTGCAGTCTTAACAAGTCAGCAGCCACCAAGAAACGATTCCAGATCCGAGTCGTCACAAGGGATTCTCCCTGAACCAACAAATGGTACCTACAGCTCTGTATCGGGTCAGCAGCTCGATGACCTCCACTCTGTGAAGCACTTCGATGGCAGAGTCCTAAAAATCTTACTGGAAAGCTACGATCGTTCCGTCAGCGACTATCTCAAGTCCAAGCGCTTTCAACGTAAGAATTTCTCAGGTGGTTCGTCTCAGAATGCGAGCCAAATCACGAATTTTGAGCAAGGTACAGAAGACCCCGGGCCAACAGATTTTACATGGAGCCTACTTAAGGAACTAACATCATTACAAAGCTCAAATACCTTCACGGTCTCTCAAGTCAAGCCAAAGCTGGAACAAGGTTTCAAAAGGATCGAAGAACGCCAAAACTACTTGGAAATATTGAAGATGGCGAATTTGAAATTTTTACAACTGGACGGTCTGACAGGTCCCTTACCTAAAGACACGACGCTGGAAGCTTACCTTCAGATTTCAAGGCGACGGCCAGGCTTGGACTCACCAGTTCTGATTGGCTGAGTAAAGTTTAGGGCCTCTGTGCCTGAATGAAGGCTGGGATCTGATATTTCTTTTTAATTTTGTGATTTGGAGATCATCGAATGAACATCCCATGAATGAAGATTAAGACAGGTTTTAAAGTTTGAGAACCTTCCTTCAGCTGGTTTGGTGGAGCTTCCTATAGTTCACTTGGATGGTTGAGAACGATTGTTAGTCAGGATTTTCCACTCAAGTTATCATTTCTATATGAACGATTGATCTCATGTTGACGAATGTAATGGCTCAGTGACAAGCCTGGGCAACTCAACTGATGTTTGAAGTTGTATGTATCATGTTATGACTTAACATGCTAGAATGTAGACAAGAGCGGTGTAAGATGACATGCTAGAATGTTAGACAAGAGCAGTGTAAGATGACATGCTAGAATGTTAGACAAGAGCAGTGTAAGATACTAGACTTTCAGACAAGGGGCATTGTAAGATAACATGCTAACGTGGTAGACAAGAGCAGTGTAAGATACTAGACTTTCAGACAAGGGGCATTGTAAGATTACTTGCTAACGTGGTAGACAAGAGCAGTGTAAGATACTAGACTTTCAGACAAGGGGCATTGTAAGATTACTTGCTAACGTGGTAGACAAGAGCAGTGTAAGACGACATTCAAACATTTAGACAAGAGCAGTGTAAGACGACATTCAAGCATTTAGACAAAAGCAGTGTTAGATGACATATTATTATGTAGACAAGAGCAGCGTTAGACCACATGCCAGAATGTTAGACAAGAGCAGTATTAGACAACATGCTAGAATATTAGACAAGAGCAGTGTTAGACCACATGCCAGAATGTTAGACAAGAGCAGTGTAAGACTACAAGCTCGGCTTCCTTTACTGCAAATTGTTTATTTCACATGCCCTCTCCTTTGTAACACCCTTATGGGATGATTTTAAAATATTTTTGTAACATAACTTTAGTGTTAAAATTTGTAGCTAACATGATTTAAAAATTGAATACAATTTTAAACTTTATTTTAATCTTGTACATGTACTTTTATTTGTCCAATCTTTGATTAATGTTTTGATTTTAAAAATTAATGTGTTTTTTGAACGATTATTTCAAATGCATTGAAAGATTAAGGAATCTGGACTTCATGTACCCGAACAATCATTGAAACTTTAAAATTTCATAATCAATTTCACTATCCAATTGAGGACATTTCCTGTCTCAATATATCCTTTCAGGCAGGGGTCAGCAAACTTTTTTTTCACGGCGGACCGCATACTCCTTCTGTACAATACTTGCAAGCCAGAACGGAAGCTCTGGCAAATAAACCGAAAAACTAAGTTAAATATTCCATGTTAATCATGGGTGAGTGGCGTGAAATGTACAAAAACAAACACAACCACTTTCCTCACACCAGCCATGATTTCGCCTCCACCAGCCGTAACGCCTCGAAGCTGATTTCCACTGAGGGTTAAAGTGTGCAAAACTTTGCGCATTGCCATGAACACGTCTTTTTCCACTGTTGTTCCACGCATGCTGCAGATGGATGACAACTCTTCCGTTATCTGGAAAGCCCAAATCAATACCTCAAAAGCACACGAGAAGTTGTGATGTACTCGAGAGATCAGTAGACTCATCCAGCGCCAGAGAATACCGCATCAAGTTCTTAGCTTTCTCAAAAATCTGTAGAATTATGTCCTCTCCGAGTTCTCCTGTTCTCCACACGACTGAACTTTCCGAAAAGTTGATAGATTCACATTATTTTGCAGTTTGTTTTAGTAATAAGACTATCATATATTAGCGGGAATAAGCTAAATGGATATTGATTCTTATTTTTTTATTTTTTTAAACAAGCTTTTACTTTTAAAAAAAACAACAAACAAAAAAACAACAACCTCACGTTACTTGGTACGTTTTTTAAATTATATCATTTCTTAATACATTAATTTCAATACATTTTGTTTAATGCTGATCTGACTTGGAGTTTGATCCACGTTAAATTTCACCAGTAACTTTATTTTGACTAGTCACAGACTGTAATCTCTAAGTCCACTCAAATATAAATTAATATCTATATCAAATACACGCCTTAAAAACAAAGTGACCACAGATTGTAATATAAACATCGGTCATCTACTTTTAGAAGTTAACAATTTTGATGCCCGTTTAAATCGATCCCACTGGGCCCTGCGATGTGAGTAGTTCATACAAAAATCTAATTTTCTTTATTTACTATTAAGATACCGTATTGTACGATTTTGAGATAATGTACGATTTTAGGAGTTCGAGGGTAAACAGGCCTGCAATAAATAAGAAAATCTAGATACGATAATTTACAATTGAAAATGGTAACATAAGGGTCATAGCAGCCAGGAGGTCTCCACACTTGAGAACATCTCCTAGTATTCTAGACATAATAATGAAATTTACATTGTATGACAACGTCTCGTGTTCCATAAGTTTTATCAAACAAATTCAAGTACGTTTGGCGGACCGGATGAACTGGCATCGCGGGCGGGATCCGGCCCGCGTGCCATAGTTTGGTAACCCCTGCTTGAAGGTATTCATCCAGTAACAAAAATAACATTTAATTGGCCGTCACAAACGTTACACTTTGCACTTTAGTGTTAGCACAATCATCAAATTAGGCGCTTTAGTGTTGGCACAATCATTACAATGTGCACTTTAGTGTTATCACAATTTTTACAATGCACACTTTAGTGCTATCACAATCATTACAATGCACATTTAGTTCTATCACAATCCTTACAATGCACACGTTAGTGCTATCACAATCATTACAATGCACACTTTAGTGCTATCACAATCATTACAATGTACACTTTAGTGCTATCACAATCATTACAATGCACATTTAGTGCTATCACAATCATTACAATGCACATTTAGTGCTATCACAATCATTACAAAGCCCACTTTAGTGCTATCACAATCATTACAATGCACACTTTAGTGCTATCACAATCATTACAATGTACACTTTAGTGCTATCACAATCATTACAATGCATATTTAGTGCTATCACAATCATTACAATGCACACTTTAGCTCTATCACAATCATTACAAAGCCCACTTTAGTGCTATCACAATCATTACAATGCACACTTGAGCATTATGACAGTCCTAGTTAGGTTTCTTTGGTCTTGCATATCCTAAGAAAGAGTATATCTAATGTTTTGTGGTGAATAACAGAATTCAACTTACTGTGTTTTTAAAACACTATCGAAAGCAACAATAACAAGAGCAACACCAAGAACAGACACACATCAAATAAATCCAATTGTTTAATTCATCACAAGGTGAATCCTATTGTGCCATTATTGGAAGGTAACATCTGGACAATGTCAAGATAGATGACTTTAAACCGGCCCAATGAATTGTAAACACCGGTTTTTCACTTGTAGCCTCTTTTCATCTCTCCTTCCATCTCAAGGTTGGTGGCATTCACAGACAGGCCACATCTACGGTGTAGAGACCCAGGGGTCCAGATCCATTTGTTGGCAACTGCAAGTGGAGATAATTGGATTTTTGAAAAATGGGGAGCTAAAAAGGGGGGGGGGTGACAGGGTCAATCGAGGTGGCCTCTGGAAAATCATGAAGAAGTACGGATGCCCAGACAAGTTCACCAACATCATCCGTCAGCTGCATGATGGCATGATGACCCGAGTGCAGGACAACGAACAGTCATCTCAAGCATTCCCCGTCACAAACGGTGGAAAGAAGAGTTGTGTTCTTGCTCCCACACTCTTCAGTAGTATGTATTCCGCAATGCTGTCTGATGCGTTCAAGGACTCCACCCCTTGGTTTCGCACTGATGAATCAGTATTTAACCTTAGGAGGCTTCAAGCTAAAACCAAAGTAAAACATAACAACATAAACGAGCTTCTGTTTGCGGACAATTGTGCCCTCAAGGCTGCCTCAGAAGCTGGTTAATAAGGGGAGAGACTGCAATCAGGTTAGTACAAAATAAAATGAGTAAAACAGAGTATGGTTAAACCTGAAAAAATAAACGCAACGAAACAGCGAACGTGTCGGCAGAAAGCCTTCGTCAGCGAACAAAACAACAGAACAAAAATAATGGGACGGAAACAAACAAGAAGTAGCAGTCAGGTAGATTAAAAAATGGGTAATAAGGGGAGAGACTGCAATCAGGTTAGTACAAAATAAAATGAGTAAAACAGAGTATGGTTAAACCTGAAAAAATAAACGCAACAAAACAGCGAACGTGTCGGCAGAAAGCCTTCGTCAGCGAACAAAACAACAGAACAAAAATAATGCTGTCATTCAACACATCGTTGATATCTTCTCTGAGGCCTGCAATAACTTTGGCCTCACAATTAACACAAAGAAGACTGAGTTAATGTATCAGCCCGCTCCCAGTAAGCCCTATGTTGATCGCAAAATCATCATCAGCGGACAGCGTCTCAACCCGGTGGATAAATTTACTTAATTGGGCAGCAACTTCTCTAGATTTGTCGTCTTGGATGATGCAATGAATGGCAGACTCGCAAAAGCTAGTGCCATATTTGGCAGGCTCCGCAGCACTGTTTGGGACAGGAGAGGTATAAGGCGATAAACAAAGATCAAGGTCTCTAGCGACAGGTCTATCAGTCCTCTCGACATTGCTCTACGGATAAGAAACGTGGGCAGCCTACCAGCGTCACGCCAATAAACTGAAACATTTTCACACAAAATAACTCAGGAAACTCCTCGGAATCAGGTGGCAAGACAAAGTCCCTGACACAGAGTTCCTCACTAGAGCGAACCTACCTAGTATCTTCACCAACCTGATGAAGTCTCAACTCCGGTTGATGGGACACGTAGCTCGTATGGAAGACCACCAGCTCCCGAAAGAGATATTCTTCGGAGAACTCACGACAGGCAAGAGCTCAAAGGAAGGTAAAATACAAAAATCGTTAGAAAGACACACTGAAAGTGGCACTAAAGTCCTTCAGCATCAACCCTACTCAATGGGTACAGAGAGCCAGGGACAGAGCCAGGTGGAAAGCAGCTATCAAGAAGGGGGCTAAATCCCATGAAGCTAATAGGATAACCACAGCGGAGACACGCAGGCTTGCCCGAAAGAGCAACATTAGGTCACCGTCTGCAGCAACTATCCCATGCCCGTGGTGCGAGAGATTATATCAAGCACGTATCGGTCTAACAAGCAACCTACGAGCTCACAATAACCCACCCTCCCCCTAACCGGATGACTCAATGCTCCTAGTCGACTTCGACGGACGAACAACAACAACAACATAACGTCTAAATATAATTTATGAATATCACTGTAATGTTGAAAGCCTCTTGACTCACTCCATTTATGGCCCACCGCGACTGGGCAGCCGGCATGCAACGAGTCTCTTTCTATTTCTCCGGCAGGATTTATGTTGTACCACATCAGAGTCATGTTCTGGAGTAGAGAGAGTTTAAGGCATTAATTACAAGGAAGTAAGTGTTGTACTACATCAGGGCCATGTTCTGGAGTAGAGAGAGTTTAAGATATTCATACAAGGAAATAAATGGTGTACTACATCAGAACCATTTTCTGGAGTAGAGAGAGTTTAAGATATTCATACAAGGAAAAAAGTGTTGTACCACATCAGAGCCATGTTCTGGAGTAGAGAGAGTTTAAGACATTAATTACAAGGAAGTAAGTGTTGTACTACATCAGAGCCATGTTCTGGAGTATAGAGAGTTTAAGACATTCATACAAGGAAATATGTGTTGCACCATATCAGGACCATGTTCTTGAGTAGAGAGAATTTAAGACATTCATTACAAGGAAATATGTGTTGCACAACAACAGAAGCCATATTCTAGAGAAAACCCAATTCTAAACCTTTTATTAAAGGAAATAGTTTAGTATATGATTAAATTACTCGAACGTGTCAATTTTTCTATGATGTTTGAACTCCTACCAGTGTCTGCCTAGAGTCTGCCGAGTCAAAAATGGCCTTACCAATCAGGGGCAGATTCACTGAAAAGGGAGGGGGGGGGTTAGACGGGCACCTGGGCCATGTCGATCTTGGGAATGCTTAAGATAAATTCGTTTGGGTCCGTAGAGTCATCTGTAGAGTCACCGTGTTGTGTCAGATGTTAAAAGAATTTTATAACTAGAAAATCTTTACAATAAAACTATTTCACAGCCATAACATGTATATATCACAATGCCTTCTGGTCCTATGTACGAGGCCTGGGCGCCCGCAGAAAACTTTCTAGGTGGGGGGGGCTAAAAAAATCGATTAACTTTCCAGGGGGGAGCAAAAATTTGTTAGTAATGTTTTAATATAGTTTTAATTTACTGTAGCGTATTTGTATGGTGAACGAACGGAGAGGACATCAGCTTAGTTACTTTCTCTTTATTTTCTCTTTACTTTAATAATTTTTTTGTCTATTTTTGTCTAATTTTTTTTCATCTAATCAATCCAGGGGGGGGGGGGCAAGTGCCCCACCTTGCCACTACCTGCGGGCGCCCATGGTACGAGGAGCAATTCATTAAATCTAAATTAAAAAAAAATATTGTCAAAATTTACTCGTATCTCCTACGATTTCAAATTTGTATCGACTTCCATGGGCTCATCTTTTGGTGAACTCATGGTCAAATTTAAAAAAAAAAATGTCTACCGTTATAATCTTTCTTTGTTAATTTGATGATTGACATTAATTGAGAAGCAACTGTCACAAGTGGATCTTACTACTGGATTAAAGTCTTTCACATACCAGGATAAAGTATCAGATTATGATAACAATAAGAGAGGATTTTTCAGATACCAGATGTCCACGATTTGAAAATATTTGATAAGACTGGTCGAGTGCATCAAAAAAAAAAGAAGAAAAGTCTGACGTTTCCCTCAACGAAT